AGATGAAGAATACTTAGACGAGGCACTTCTCGTTCTATTAAAAGATTCTAGTTTCTTATTAGAACCATTTACTTTTGAAAATCTGACGTGGGAAGAACACCTTTTAATCTTAACTAATGTACTGTAGGAAGTTCAATTACCTAGGTGAGATGGATTGCTTAAAATAAACGCAATTATGAATTGCTTAAAATAAACGCAATTCATATTCCATTAGGTTTAACATATTCCATTAGGTTTTTACAGCATATTCTGTACTAAACAGAATTTATTAGAATAAAGAACCACGGAATGCACCTGCATGCAGTATGGTTCAAGATAAATATGACCGACCAAAACAAATTTATTGGCAAAGTGATTCATCTTATTAATTGTAAAGTGATATAGAGTTGCCAAAAATGGACTTGGCTTGTAGGGCTTGGCCAATCCAGCTCACTATTTGGTAAAGTTGGATTAAGATTTTCGAGCGCATTTGAAATCGAGACTTATAAGTCCGACCTAAGTTAGCTCATTGGCCTTTGAGACTTGACTTAGGCTGAGCCTGCGCAAGCCTGTGGGGGAAAAATATAATTGAATTCAAATTTAAATATTTAATTTAAAAGAAAAAGGTTTAAAAAATAAAGTTAATATATATATATATATATATATATATATATATAAACTATGTATGACCACATTTCTGAGATCAAGGGAAAATTATTATTGATGAGTGAAGACGGTGGAGTGAGCAATATATAATTTGAACACCAATACATGGTTATTTTTTCATCATGGTTGACATTAGAATTCAGATTTTTGACATGCACAAGATTACTTTTTCTTTTGCTTCATTAATAACAAATTAGAATTTTTTTTTAAGTGACCAATAATAATTTTTTTCAAGAGATAATATTATTATTGATCATTTTGATTACTATAATATATCATTAACTTAAACTGCTCTTTAGTATAGGAGAAGACCAATTTTTAACACCTAGAAAAGAATTTGACAACACTAGCAAATTTTATGAACATTTAAAATTTGTATGGACTGTGATGATGATAATTAGCAAATGATCTTGGAACCAAAATAAAGACTTCATTATATAAACTTATTGAAGCAATCCTTGAACCTGAGAAAATTAAAAAGAAACATATTAAAAACTATTTATCTAATGTAAAAAAGAAGAAGAGAGAATTTGCATTCAATTATGAGATTTTTTATCAAATATCAAGATTCTTGTATGACTATATGCAAACAGAAGTTATACACATGATTAAGGAACTATGTCACAAAGAAATCCTTAAAGATTTAAAAAATTAATTTGAAAAAAATGAAGTGTCAGCCCGTCCTAACCACGGCCCGATTAAGATTGGGTTGGGCTGGCCATTTTAAGGCCCATTCAAATGGTGGGTTAACCCGTTCGAACCCACCAAATTCAAAAGTCCGCGAGGCTTGGGCTGGGTCGGGCTGGTTTGGCCTATTTTTGAGAGCTACTTATGGTAGACCTAATCATCACATATTTTAAGTGGTGGGAGTTCAAACGAACTTTAATATTTTTGATATGAACCTAGACACATGTGAATAGTTACAAAAATTTCAATAAATGTTACATTATGAACCCATAGTTTGAAAAATACAACGAATTACTTATTAAGAACCTTAAGATTGAACCCATCAAGTTTAAATCTTAGATTCACTTCGGATTATTTTAATTAACAAGTTTAGAGGATCATGTACCTGTCCATAGATATAAGGTGTTCTGACATAATTCCTATTTACAGCTACCAGAATCATTCCTACTTGATTATTTTTTTTAGTATTTTTCAACATAACGAAGGTGGAGAAGATGCTCTGCAAATTTCACGTCCATTAGAAGCTATTTAACCCTATTTATATATTAGTCATAGCAGATATCTAGGGATACTATGGCTATTAAATATTTCAATACTAATTGACCAATATTGCAAGAATCGTGGTGGCCGGTAAGTTTTTTCTTTTTTCTTTTTTCATAATCAGATATATTATGATGATGATTCATAAGTTTTCATTTTGTAGGGTGAAGAACTTGGTTTTTGGACGGCTAAGCTCACATGCATTGCTTATGATCAGTTCTTTAGTAGAACCGACTTTCTGATTTTCTTCTGAAATAAATTAGGAAAAAGTGAATGGTTATATATTTCACATAAGGATTCAGGAAGCAATGTAGTGAATGGAGTAATTAGCTAGGTCTATAATTGGTTGACTTTCTGTGAGTGACCAAATACCTTTGACTTTGTTAATGATTTTCTGTTGTTCTTAATTAAGTCATCTTCCCCATGCAAAGGAGTATAAATTTGGCATAGTTTCTTAGCTAATTAACACTCCAAATATTCCTTTGTTAAGTTCTCTCATCTCTTTTCCAATGGCTCTTTCTTTGTTAAGCCTAATCAACTTTCCTCTTTCTTTCTCCTTATCAATCTTTTTCATAATTGTCTTTTCCATTCTATTGAAACATTACAAAGGCTACAAACACATTACCAAAAAGAAACTTCCACCTGGAGAAATGGGACTTCCATGGATTGGTGAAACCATAGAATTTTACAAAGCCCAAAAAAAGAACAAATTATTTGAAGAATTCGTTCAGCCCCGGATCGAAAAATATGGAAAGACATTCAAAACAAGACTAATGGGATCACCAACAGTAGTTGTATGTGGAGCAGAAGCTAATATGTTCTTTTTGTCTAATGAATTCAAATTGGTAATAAGTTCATGGCCTACTTCTTCAGTTGAGCTAATGGGCAAGAATTGCATTATGGAGAAACAAGGAGACGCGCATCGATGCCTTCGTGGGATTATATCTTCAAGTCTTGCCTCTTTTAGCCTAGATGCTATGGTTCCTAAAATTTGTAACACAATTCAATCTCACTTAGACAAAAATTGCAATGGCCAAGACCAGATCATAAAACTGTATCATCTGACCAAATCTTTGACGTTCAAAATTGTGTTCGAGTGTTTTTTGGGGATAGTAGTCAAACCAGGATTACTTGAAACGTTTGAGAGAGTCTTGGAAGGTGCTTTTTCACCCCCATTTAAGTTTCCAGGATCTAAGTTTTCAAGGGCAAAAAATGCAAGATTGAAAATAGAGAAAATTCTTGTTGAGGTTATAAGGGAGAAGAGAAGAGAGATAGAATTAGGAGAGGAGAAAGAAGGGAAGTTAGACGAGGCATTACTTTCTCGGTTAGTGAAAGCGTTGATTCGCGGTGAGGTAAGTGAAGAAGAGGTCGTTGATAATGTTGTTTTGCTAGTGTTTGCTGCACATGATACAACTTCTTTTGCCATTGCTATGACATTTAGGATGTTGGCTCATCATCCCACCTGCTATTCTCTTCTCCTTCAAGGTACGTTTATATATAGAAGCTAACCACTGCATTGTCTGCATATCAACTTTTTTCAGTTTAGCTCTGTCTATTACACTGATTAATGTGAAAATTGGACACAGAACATGCTAATATAATGAGTAACAAAGGATCGGATGAGATATTATCGTTGGAAGATACAAAAAGGATGAAATATACCTGGCAAGTTGCGCGGGAAAGCATGAGGCTGTTTCCTCCTATCTTTGGTTCTTTCAGAAAAGCAATTGCTGACATTGAATTTGAAGGATTCACTATTCCAAAAGGTTGGAAGGTAAGAACTATCCTACTCTTTGTGTCTTTAGATAGCTGAAAAGTGCAAGATTATTACAGTCAAATCCTTTTACATGCCCATTATAATATCATATGCTAAATTTTGTTGCTATGTGCAGGTATTGTGGACAACATATGGTACACATTATAGTCCAGACTATTTTAAAGAGCCCCAAAATTTTGACCCAAGTAGATTTGAGGAGCCTGTTCAACCATATGCATTTGTACCATTTGGAGGAGGGCCAAGGCTGTGTGCAGGGTACCAATTGGCAAAACTAAACATTCTTATATTTGTTCATTACGTTGTGACACGATATGATTGGTCCTTAATAAATCCTGACGAACCAATTGTCATGGATCCCCTTCCCTTCCCTTCCAAAGGAATGCCCATTAAAATTTCTCCCAAGTTTTAATGAAACATAACCTTGTTGCAGGGCACTTGTTTCGTTATGCACATTACCAAAGTGAAAAAATGATTCCATATCATGGCTCAAATTAACCATCAGTCAAAGAAAACTATTTAAACGATTGTTTTATCTGTTTATAATTGTCATCAGTCTGAACAATGTTGAGACACCTGAGGACATTCAAATATTAACTAAGGGCATGCCATAAGCGTTAGTCCAGTCATAGTATACAATTCCATGTGGCTTGAAATATTTGGAGCTAAGTGACGTTGAAATCAACCAAAATAATATACTCTTAGGAGAATGAACTCGTTGACAAATGCTTCTACCATTATCGCCAAATAAACTTTTAGATTCAACCACAAGCAGCATCGATTCAAAAGAGAGAATTGTTCATAAGATTCAGTTGGTACATGATTCAATCAAAGAAATGTTGAAATGATTGATATAGCCTTCTTATCAGATTCCAGACGCGAGGCAAACCCATGGAAATAACCCAGTATACTTATTAGTGGTAACAAAAATAAAAGTCTGTTCATGGTCGGGTTGGGTGTTTTTTTTTTTCTCTTTATGGGAAGAGGGAAAATAGATTTTTTCTCGCTTTATCTAAAGAAATTCCCTAAAGTGGTTCATCTTTTACACACTGCTGGCAATCAGGAAGAAGCGTATGATTGACTGGCTTCATCCCCTGGCTACTCCATCGGTTCACAAGAGCCACCTCAAGTACCCTGACCTGCAGACATTTTGCTCTTAGAATCAAAAGTGTCCAAGCAAACTAGGTCAAATTGCAACATAAAACAAAAGGAGGGGAAGCACTTCATCCAAATCAAGCTAAGTTATTGTGATATCCAAACATTTCTTATCCCAAACTTCATGGATATTTACTTCTTAGATACAGTATTTCAGTCAGCAACCTAGGAACAAAGCATCACCTAATAAAACACATCGTAGCAAAAGAAGGTTCCAAGATGCCATTTCATTCATTCCTTTCAGCATTCATACTTGATCAAGTTGATGAGAGAAAACTTGAAAGTGAACAAGTGATCACATAATTGTGCATTATAATTTTGAGTATAGTAACCCATAAAAAAAGATCTTTTGAGTAGAGTATGTTCTTAGGAAACCACATAACGAATTGGTGCATAGGGATTAAGGCAGCAGCCACGCCAGTAACTTTTGGAAGTGACAATGACAGAAATAATGCAGGTGATGGCCATAATTCTCATGAGCAGCTGTCACAATGCAGTGGATGAGGCATCCAATGTACCTACTTCAATTGGCGGATGTATATCCAATAAGCTATTTGACAAGATGCTAAAACTGCTTTAAGCATCAGAGAGGTTGTCTTTACTTGAGAATGTGACAAGTTCATTGTGACAAAAGTAACAAAAATATAGGTGACTTTTTCAAGTAGGGGAGAATAGGATGTCGACCCTACAGTCACCACCAAAGATCAACTCCATGGACTATGTCTAACAAAACAACCGCTGCTGATAAGCAATTCAGCTGAGAGAAGCCAGAAAGTCTGATCTATGTCTAACAAAACAACCGCTGGTGAAAGCAATTCAGCTCTGAGAAGCCAGAAAGTCTGATGACCGACTGGGTAAGAGGAGCCCATGCCAGGAAGCCTGATCACCAGATTAGTGCTTAGCTTATACATAAACCTCTCTACAATCAGTTTCACAACAATAACAAGGGAATTTGACTACAAATATTGGACATATGCATTTAAAAGGTAAAAAGATCTCGCAAACATTCAGGCTGGAGAAAAAAGATAAATTGATAGCTCAAGAGATTCACACTATTGGAAATTTAGTTCAACATAGGTGGATTAGTCAAGGTGCATACAAGCTGACCTGGGCTCCACCGTTATTAAAAAAAATGATAACCATAGCCTAGGCAAGTCTTATTCAATTAGTATGAAGTTATGAACCAAAATTATAATCAAGGTCATCAAACAAATCATTCTTCAGGAAATCTAACCTGCTGTACAATTAATGGTTCCTCTGCACGACTTAATGGCTCTGTCAAAATAGTAAGAAAACCATTTCTATTACCATAAACTATGTCTGTAAACGGCCTATCACCCACCTGCAAAGGACACAACATAAACTGTCAACTGAGAAAGGACAGAGAAAAGCTTACAAAAAACTGAAAGAACCAAGTTTACCATAATAAGCCTCGACGATTCACAACCAAATTGTTTTTCAATTTCTTCAGCTGTTCCAGCCGGCTTCTTCACCCCTAAAGTATACACATAATGAAAGTAGCAAATACAAATATCATTAACTCAAAGATAGGCAAGTGATATTCACAGAAATTTCTCAATTTTTTGACTTATCATTCGTTAATTCATGTTACTTCAGAGTTGCATTACTATAGAAATGGAATATACAATACATGATAGATTAGGGCAAATGGAATCCCAAATAGGAAATACAACTTACTGTGCATAATGACTTTAATTCCAATTGCACGTTCAAGAATTCTGGCTTTTCTACCATCAGGGTCATATTCATCTAGTCCTACAAATTCACAAATCATAATTACTGAGCACTACTGAGACGAATTGTTAGGAGTCAGACTAGCCCAATTGACACGGGCCCAACTTAGACATTTGCACTGATCTAAAAGAAATCTAATTACCTGCAGAGTTGCTATAAACTGCAATATTGTTACCAAAGAGAGATTTGCACTGATCTATAGAAGAGGCAAGAGGAGACCACAAGCTCAAGGAGTAAGGAACTGTAATTGTATTATCCTTGTCAAAGACCACACCTTGAAACCCTCGTTTCTTTAGCTCAGTCCAATCGATATACCTAATATCCGGCACAATAACATGTGGGATCGCCAAATGCTTGTCCTTAGAGAAAACCCCTAAAGAAGACACAATGCCCTCCACGTTAATCCTCTGGCCTACTGCAGCTTTCAAGTCTGTCCACCACATGTTTGTGTAAATGCCTGAAGGGTTGGGAAGCTCAAATTTCGGGTCCTCCTTGTTCTCTCTGTACTGGGTTCTCTCTTCTTGAATAGAAGTATAAAATTCTTCCCAATTTATACCGTTCTGTCGATCTAGGTCTGTACTGTTGTTGTTGTTGTCCCTTTTGTGTTTATCTTGTTCCTGACTGCAACTATGTGTAGAACTGAGAGTGAAACAACACTTGTTTGTGAAATGGGTGGAGCAAAGTGAGGAACGAGGAAGAGTTTTCTTGTGGAGATTAAGGGAACGACTGGGGGAGTAAAAATGCTTAGGAATTGGGTAGAAGCAAGTATGCAAAGGAGTAATTGAGGTAGACAGCATAATCAGACCTTAAATCTGGTATCTCTATGGGTTTATATAGAATAATTGTATACATCGATGAAAACAAGTGTAGTAGTTTCAAGTTTCAACCAACACGAACCTTTCGTGTTACTGCTGGAAAACATCTCTTTACGGATAGCAGAAACGGGACAAAATTACTGATGTTCACGGAGGACCTACCATGTGTTGGCCATTTGAAGAAATGACACAGTTAGCCACTTTAAAAAGCTGTTATTTAAGAATTAGCTAGTATATCTTGACTTTGAATTTTTTAGTTTAATTTTTCAGGAAAAAAATATCCGTAATTGTCCTGAAGTTACAATTTTTAGTTTAAATACAAAATAAGTATTGGCTAATCTGTAAATAGTATCTTTGAGAATGGCTGTATGTGCACTTGCCTCACCATTTGCAGAAGGCCAGCCAACAAATGTAAAGAGATTTTTATATGCTTGCTCCCTTTTTAAAAACTATTCTCATAAATGATAGTAGGCTTTGTTTATTTAAAAAATGGATTGTTTTTTACTTTTCTAGCACTTTCACGTTGATAACTCCATTAACTAAGAGATCCCTCTACATTAATACACTTTTTACTACATTTTCTTTTTTCCTCGCTCTTCCATAATTTCTTTTTTCTCTTCCATAAATAACACTTACCCAAATATATCAAAGATTCTGAAAGAAAAATATCTCAAAAATAATTCCCTCTGCACAATGAGGATTTTTTTTTTTTTTTGAGTTTTAAACTTTTTTTCTGTACAATTTTATTTTAACTCAAAATATTCCTTTAATATATTTCAAGTATATTATATTGTGATAATTTACAATGTAAATATTCCATCAATATGTCATATATATTTTTTATATGTATTTATACCACATATATAACTTATATATATACATCATAATACATTATTATATAGATATTATTCAAAGTATATTGCTAGCAAATACCTTACATAAAATTTAATCTAAAATATTAACATGCCACTAATATGTATATAGAAGGAAAATATATGTCATATATACTGTTTATAAACGGATAATTTATAGAAATATGCATGTTATATTAGTGCAAAATATAAATGGTATATTAATAATATTTATTTAAATATAATTAAGTGTATAAATAACATATGCATATATACATGATTTTTCCTAAAAAATACATGATTTATAATATATCAAAAACATACATTATATTTTTTTCACCAAATATATGTATTTTATTTCATTAGAATATACAGATATATAATTTTGCTAGGATTAGTTGAATAAAAAGGTCCATGTATAAAAAGGAAAAAAATTGTTATGGAATGGATCGATGATATATATTTAAATATAAAGACGTATATAAATAACATATGCATATACACATGAACTTTCCTAAAAAAATACATGATTTATAATGTATATATACCACAAACATACGTTATATTTTTTTCATGAAATATATGTATTTTATTTTATAAGAATCAAGAATCTGTTTCATTAAGCAGCTTGATTCTTGCTGATTTGAATTGAATGAAATCTATAAAATATTTTACTGCCATATTTGTTAATCATTAATTAATGCTAATCTTTTGTATTATGTTTTTAATAGTCTGCTATTAATGAAAGTAGCCCAAATATAAAGGTGGTGTATGGCCCAAAGGGTGATCGAGCTAGCCCATCTGAGGTGGGTATGTTGGGCCTAGGCTCAGTGTTCTTATGAAAACTTTGTTTTATCAATACACTTATCTCTCCATTTTTTTTGTTTAATCTGACACAATTACTAACAACGAACTTAAATATTAATATCCTCGCAAGACAGCTTTCTTGTTAATTTGTTAGTTAACCCAAGATAATGAGAGAACAAGCTATCTCACTTTGTTAATTTGGAGTCAGAAGGCCTTTTCGGTAAAAGAGAGAAAAAGAAACAAAAAAGATTTTATTCCGGTCCATGTGTATGCTCCAAAACAATACAGCAGTAGATAGATAAAAAATAAAGAATTTTGCTCATATAAATAAAGAATTCAGTACATATATTCATTATTCACAAATATGAGAAGAATCAATCTTAATAAATAGCAGAGGCAGTGCCACAATTTCCTTGCTCCAGCAACTTAATTAGAGGAACCTCGAACGCTTGCACTCATGAGAAAAGCCTTGAGGAAACCTCTTAGAATCAGCACAATAGTTGTAAACCATGTGTCTGCTCTGCACCCATCGTAGCCTATTCCTGCCCTTAGCATCAAGTTCTTGATTTTGCCATGGCCTAGCATTGTTTGCTGAATCAGTGGACTTACACGAAGAGGCGCCGGATGTGACTGCGCAGCCATCAATATTGAAATTTCTGTAATATGCAGTGAAAGGAGCATGTGTCCAATCTGTCTTGACTCTACCTCCTTGTGTAGCCCACTCATCTGCATTCCATAAGCTGCAGTACACTTTCATTGGTTGGCTTTTTGGGAATGGAATGCCAGCGCTTTCGTGGTTGTTGTATACTCTGATTGGACTATTATCTACCAAGAAACTGAAGATGGGAATTCATATGGAAATCATCAGTACCAAAATAAGAAGAAATTGCAAGCAAACATCATTAATTCTTACAGTGCGATTAATATAAGGAACTTACATGATCTTCTGAGCATTCCAGATAATGGAGTAAGTGTGAAATGCAGCAGTTGGGTCGAACCACAAATGGAATTGTTGTTCTTTGTTGCCTTTGCCTTGCGAGTAAACATTGGTATGAACTGTGTAAGGTTGGCCAGAAACATTGCCTAAGAACTCGAAATCAATCTCATCATGTCCAGCTCCTTGTGAAGATAACTGATGAAAGAAACAAAGAACAAGAAAAAATATTAAATCATCAGAACTTGGACATGAAATAGAACTAATACAATTTTGTAAGGGAAAAGTTGAATGACTTACGAAGAAGGTGGTGACAGTGCCAGCAGAATTTCCAGGGACAAGTTTGAGTTGCATGTCAAATCTTCCAAAGAGATACTCATTCTTCGATTGAAAACCCGAACCAGAAAATTTATCAAGGGACAGAGAAAGGCCTCTGCCTCCTCCTGTTATTTTACCACGTCCTTCGCCCCAAGTGATATCTGCAAGATTATAAAAATTACCAGCTGAGGCGACTGCNGGGGGGGGGGGTGATGTTTGAAATCAATGTGTGGTGATTGATGATATGAAATTGTTCAAGAATGTCTATGTATTTATATTAGGCCAATTATATGATTGACCATGCTCATGAATTGAGGAGGAAGGATCCAAAATTGACAAAACAGCTGGAATTTAAATCTTTTGTTTATTTGGAAACATTAGTGGAGTTGTAATATAGCAGGGGCCCACTTGACGTTTACGCGTTTGATATGTAAGTAAGATGATTTGAATGTGAGAAAACCTGGATTCCTTTGGAAACTTTTTCCATGGTTTAATAATCATGAACCTTGGGTTACAGCTATTAAACAGAATGGATGTCCACAACTATACTAAGTATTGAGCCGTGTGATTGCCCTTATTTTGTCATCAAGCTACTTGTGACTTCATTGTGTATTCCTCTCGTTAAGGGTGTATTGAGACGATTCAATAACATTGAGGAGTAAAGTCAAACGTTGATAAGAAAGAGGCTTGGAGATTTTAAAGAAAAGAGAATTTGTATTTTTTTTTTTTGAAGTGTATTTTCCTAACTTTTAAGATGTAAAATTACCATATATTTTTTTAATAATTGATTTCTTCTATTAAGTCTTTTTTAACTGATTAATAGGTTAATCCATTTAATTTGTCTTGAGACATTGTTGTTCTTAGGTGAATTTTTTAATTTTAGTTTTGAAAAACTTTTTCTCACACATGCAATTGTTAAAGGAACTTTATTTTATAAATATAGATATTTGAAAAAGAATCAAGTCTTATGGATGTTTAGATATAAAATCTTGGGGGATTTGCATCTATACCCAGTTTTTGGGTCACATTTTAACCTATATCCGCTTTGTGAAAAAAATTACAAGTGTACCCACTTTTCAGGTAACTTCAAGCATACGAGCCTGAAGTAGCAAAAATTTATGTCTGAAGTTTGAACTTCAGAATTTTTTGCCTGAAGTGTAGCCTTATCAAAGCAAACCTTCAGATATTTTTGCCTGAAGTTTGGCCTGACTTGCAAAGGCAATCACGCAAACTTCAGTTCATAGTGCAAGGAAAAACTTCATTTTCCCCTCACTTCATAGTGCATATTTCAGATAAATTAGTCTGAAGTTCTTCAATTTATAGTGCAAACTTCAGGAACTTTAGTTCATAGTGCAAGGGCAAACTTCAATTTTTCCTCACTTCATAGTGCAAATTTCAGACAAATTAGTCTGAAATTCTTCAATTTGTAGTGCAAACTTCAGGAACTTCAGTTCATAGTGCAAGGGCAAACTTCAGCTTCCCCTCACTTCATAGTGCAAACTTCAGACAAATTAGTCTGAAGTTTTTTATTTTGTAGTGCAAACTTCAGGACAAATTAACTTTTCATTGTAACTAAGAACTGGTTTGGCATCACATCGGGGTTTACCTCATGGGGAATTCTTCATGTTCTTCATATTGGATTTGGAACTTCTGTATATTCAGTATGAGATAAACACATAACAAGATGAACTAGAGAATATCTGTTGCGCTCTCGATGCATTTGGATTTGTATCTCGAGCTTGCAAAATAAAAGATTGTAAAATTTGCAAAAGCCCACGTTTTACTTTCTGTTGACAGGGTTTCTGAATTCAAATAGAGAACGATAACAATACTATGTTTTGTTATTTTATGACAGTATTTGATCAAATATAAGTTAAGTTGTTAATTTGACTTCAAATTTTATTAGTGAATATATTAAAGTAGTGGTTGAAAAATTAATTTGATAGACAAGAAGAGCAGGAAGAAAGGAGCGCATAGGTCAGGAGGAAGAAAATAAGGCGTTTGAAGTTGTTAAAATTAGGATATATGTTAAATAATTTTAAAAATATGGATATAGGTTAAATGGGGGCGACCAAATAGGGCGCCCCGTGCAATTTTTACTAAAATCTTTATCACTAAAAATCCAATTTATCAACATTAGGAATCAACGTGATTTGGTATTTTGCCCTCATAGATTCGAAGTGCCATTCAATAATCATATGCTCTAATAAGGGTTAAAATTCGGGGCAAGCACAGATAGTCATTCTCAGTGATGCTATTTAGAGATTAGTCACTTATTTTGTTATGAAATTTTAAACTAAAAATCTTAATTTCAGGATAATTCAGAATATTTTTATCCTGAAAATTTGAAATGAAAAACTGAAATTTAGAACACACTGACTAATTCCTAAATAGCAATCCCATAAAATGGCCACCTGGTATCATCTGTATTTAAAATTCCTAGTTGTCGTGTCGCTCGGCTGTATCCAGTTTCAAAGAGACCACGCTTTAGTAAACGTCGTTACATAGCCCAAACAGAAACTTTATTTTCTTTCCCTTTTTTTCTTTTCTTTTGCTGCAATGTTCCTAATCCCTCCAAATAGACTATAATAGTTCAGTGACTTTTGTCATGGCCGCTATATCATCATGTCACGTATGTGCTACTTGGTATATATTTTTGTCATATGGAAAGCTTACATATGAAATAGACTAGCACATGTGGGAAGGTTCTAAAGAAATATGGAGATTTCTCATGGAAGATCTTAGAACCCTACGGAATTGCTAGAAAAGTCCTTAGAAGATTCTAGATATGTAAAAAATTCTAAAGAAGAGACTTACTTATAAATAATAAGGGCCATGTGTAATAATTATAGGAGACTAGTATATAAAAGGGGCTATTGATTTGTAACTCGTCAAGAAAAACAATCAACTCCTCTACAATAAAAGGCTTCATTTGGCAAATTTCTCTTGTCTTTCTTATCTAACATTCCCTTAGCGATCTTGAGTGTAATATTTTAGGCTGACTTGGCATAGTAGTGTAACGACCCGACCGGTCGTGTTGGGCATTTACTCTCCTTTCTACTATTTGAAGTCTTGAACAGTTTCATATGATGTATTATAGCTTGTGTGAATCGTCGATTGTGGATTTCAGGTATTTTAGAATGTGTTCGGAAGAATGAATCTCAAGGTTGGAAGTTTAAGTTGAAAAGGTTGACCGGATGTTGACTTATGTATAAAGGACCCCATAATAGAATTTTGATGGTTCCAATAGCCCCGTATGGGGATTTCGTATTTAGAAGTATGTTCGAATATTTATTTTGAAACCCGTAGTTAAATTTGGTTTGAAATGGCAAAAATAGGAAATGGAAGGCTTGAAAGCTTGACCGGAAGTTGACTTTATTGATGTCGGGTTCGAATCTCAATTTCAAAAGTTGGAATAGGTATGTACTGTCATTTATAACTTGTGTGCAAAATTTGAAGTCAATCGGAGTTGGTTTGGTATGAATCGACATTAGTTTTGAAATTCGGAAGTTCATAAGTTTCTTAGGCTTGAATCGATGCGCGATTCGCGATTCTATTGTTGTTAAAGGAAATTTGAGGCTTCGAGTAAGTTCGTATCATGGTTTGAGACTTGTTAGTATACTTGGTTGGGGTCCCATGAGGCTCGGATGAGTTTTGGATGAGTTTTTTTAACGTGCTTGATGTTTTGACATTTGTTTTAGCATAAGCATGTAATGATCCAAAGGTCCATTTTTAGTTCTAGAGATCAAAATTCGATTTCGAGGCTTTCAGGAGTTTGATAATGAATTATAGGAATAATCTGGAATGTTTGGTCTAATTTCATCAAATCGCGATTGAGTTTTTACAGCAAAGCATGAGTTAATTATTTAACGAGCAAAATTGGTATCGTATTGAGAAAATGAGCTTTGAATTGAGTTTTGCTTGAACGACTAGGTTCGTATTATTATTTGTGACTCATAGAAACAAGAATCATCGAATTCCGATTTCGTATGATGAAGTTAGAGCCTTTTTAGTGAAAAATAAATTACTGGTGCAACAGGTTCTGGTGCGCACCTTTAGCGACCAGATTTGGCACTTTTTGAGATGGAAATTGGGCTTTTGGCGACCAGATTAGTGTTTTTATTGAGCATTTGTTTTATAACCTCATTTCAATATTTTTGGACGAAAGAACTCGGTTTGGGCGATTTCTAAGCGAGAATTCACGGGACTTCTTGAGGTAAGTCACTTGTGATCATTTTTACTTCATATTATTGAATTATCGTTGAATATTCCGACTAGATTACGTGATTTTGAGGTGTAATTCGAGAATTTGGGCATAGGGATTTGAAAATAAGATTTGGGGATTTGGAGGTCGAGTTGATGTCGGAATTTGGTAAATTTGGTATGGTTGGACTCGTGGTTGAATGGGCGTTCGAATTTTGTAACTTTCGTCAGGTACCGATATGTTAACCCCACTATTGACTTTTGAGTTGACTTTTTCGGATTTTATTTGGAAACTTAGCATTTTGTATGGAATTTATTCCTATAATTTTTATTGAGTATATTGAATTATTTGTGACTAGATTCGAGACGTTTGGAGGCAAAATCGCGAGAAAAAGGCTTATTGAAATAAAAAAATGTACGGTTTGAGGTAAGCAACATTTCTAAACTTGGAGCTGAGGATATAAACCCCGAAAATACATGTTATATGATTTGTTTGGGGGTGACGCATATGCTAGGTGACAGGCGTGTGGGCGTGCACCGTAGAAACTGTAACGTAATTGATTCTGTAGAATTGTGTAGTCAAATAATCTTGGCATTGTCCATGTACTTTCGTATGTTAAAGAAATTGAGTTGAGAATCATGTTAAAAATCATGTTGAGGCTATATGCAGTATTATTAAGACCCACAAAGGTCATGTTGCTGTTGAATTATTTGTTTAAATTTTAATTTCATACTCAGTCATGTTCATTCATTTTATATCACATCTCAGTCTCTGTTGCTATTTATTGATACATCATATCATCATTTTTGGGCTGATTTTCACGATATTTTTAGCCCGAGAGACTGATAATTGAGTGAGGCCGAGGGCCTGATTGTGAGGATATTTATGGGATCGGGCGGCATGCCACAGCATGCCATATTGGCTTTATATATTTTATTATCATGGGATCGGGCTGCACATCGCAACATACTTTTTATTTATTTATTTTGC